TGCCCGCCGCAGCGACAACGGCCGCCGGCGAGTACCGCCCGACGGCGGCGTCCGCCCCCGCGCGCCACCGGCGTTTCGTCCGCTGCCACAGCCCCACCACGCGCTCCTCGCTCTTCTTCGCCACCTCGGCCGCCTTCTCCGCCGACGCATGCCCCTGCATCACCGAGCGGAACAGTTCCGGGATGTGCGACGCACCTGCCTCCGCCGTAGACTCGACCGCCGTCGAGAGCGGGCCGTCCGACGCGAATGCGTCCAGCGCGGCGCGCAGTGGAGACGCCGGCGCGGGCCTCAGAATCGACTTCCTGATCAGCGGCGTGGCGGGCGCAGGGAGCGGCTGAGCCGCTTTAGACGGCGCGGCGGGCGCGGGGGCTGTATACACGTCGTCGGTGCTGTCCTGACAGTGTATCGGACGGACTGAGCTCACCAGGCGCCTCCGGGTTGCCTCTTCTGAGCAGCAACTGGTAGTCCTTACCGAGAGTCAGAAGCACTTCCCGACAGAGGCACGCCCACATGCTCGGGTTGTATCTTTGATCTGCGAACAGTGCCGAGCGACGTGCACTAGCAGCAGCCGAGTTGTCGCCTGCTAGCTGCATCAGCTCTGCATACGCGAAATGCTTGAAGTAGCCGTCGTGGGATGCTATTCCGGACACTAATGTCAGTGCCGGGTCTGCGGTGCTGCTCGCGACGGTGATGGGCTGACGGAGACGTTGTCATGAATGGGGTGCCATTGAATTGAAATGAAATACACACCTGATCAAAGGGACTTTCTGCAATCTCCCAGCACACGGCAGTGGTCAAGGCCACGAAGAATGCCCTGCACACCAGCGACCAATGCCGTACTAACAAAGTAACGGTATATGGTCCTCGCAAGAAGTGGCCCGTGAACGGTCTCAGAAGCTGGGACACAAGGGGGAGGCTGTATAACAACGGCAAAACGATTGTTCGCGAGAGAGCGAACAAGAAAGTATATACAACACTGCACAGGAGGCCGAATAAGGTGGTGCTGATGAGAATAGTGACGATACGCGCGAGGCGAAAGGATTGTATCCGCTGTCCGTCCTGAAAGACACAGCTATTTCAGCCATTCGACAGCGCATGCTATGTGTGCACCTACGCTTGCCAAGATGGTTGACCATTGCACAGCGAAACGATCGCGTAAAATGGCGCGGAGTAAATACGCGCCAGCCATGAACATCTGCGAGAAAAGCAAGTAGATGACCCGTCCATTCAGGTAATATGGATGCTTCCTGGATGAGTCGAATGAGAGTGGACAATATGCTTGACAAGGCACACGTACTTGGATTTCACAAATAGGGAAAGTCGCGGACTCCTGCTGCCACTTGGCTCATACGTATAGACCATAGCGATGTGCACTAGGGAGAGGAGCAGTGCAGACACCATATGAACCAAGAAGACTGTTGGTGTGCTCTTCTTTGACAATGCGGCTTGCACGATTTTGGCGGGAGATGAAGCGGCGGTTGGCGTCACTAGCGGAAACGAAGAGTAAATTACCACAACCCAGTCCTGTAATTCCCCATATCACCCAGCACTCACCTGTCAGATACCGATTACGAAGTATAATCGCAGGAACCACTCCTGCTATCCATAATGCTGCCGCGTAGGCCCATGTTAATGGCAAAACCGAGTTGACAGAGGTTTTCCAGAAACCAAGGTGAGACGCTCCGCCCTGACTCCAAGTAGACCAGATGTTTACGAGAATCCAAGAGTAGAAAAAAGATGGAAGGAGAATACTTTTCAGCAGACGGTGGCGGAGGACGCTCTTCGCAAGGGGGTCGTAAGACTGCGATGCTGGTGGGATAGCGGGAGCCGAGCGCGCTGAAAGGACAGAGGTAATAGCCCGTATGGGCTCAACGCCTTGTGACATGACTGTATCGCCTTTGCGTCGTAATATCAGGGGATATAGGGAAACAAAGAACGTGTACGGTAACGTAGCGGCCGCGAGAGCGCGTTGCGTTCGCGTGACAGCGCGGGGTTGTGTGGCAGAACGCGCCTGTCACGCGCCTGTCACGCTCCAGCCGGACGACGCCACTTTATCCCGGGCCGAGTCAAGACTCGGATCTGTTGGTGAATTGTATGTACTGAAATCGTTCGCTCCTTGCATTTGGAAGTACATAATACGGTAAACTCATCCCCTTCAAAGTCGCACGGAAGCTTACTTTATAAATGGCCTAATGCTAACCAGGAAGAGTCTGAAAATTTGAATCCGGCATCCCTGAGGTGCGCTGAGCGTGTTGAGAGGTGGTAAAACAATACTCAGGTGTCCGGGTACGGCGACATGCGCAGCCAAGAGACCAGAATAGACAAGAATGTCCGTGACGCTCGCGAGATTCCTGCTTCCGAGTTCATCGTCTCCTAGAGCCTCATTGACGAAATCCGTACTCTTATGGGGCAAGCATTTTCTTCCTGGCGCCGTCCGTGTTGAGCCATACAAAATTCATGTTTATGGACCCGGTGACATTTTACGATCTGGGAAGAAGACGAAAGCGTTAGTATAAAAGCTGAGATTGCCAGCTGGGTCGGCTTGTGCCCAGACGTCGAACATTTGATTACCAAAATCGCCACTGGCTATAGAGCGGCCATCGCATTCAAAATCTTCAAGTCTGATATTTCTTTTCGCCCCACGACATTTCCAAACAGGCTCCTAGCGGCTTGGAGGCTGACTTTTGTCCGAAGATTGAAGAAGTACTGGGCCAATTGCAGATTCCGTGTGGCCTTCTGCTCACACACGAGTACCCGGTGGGTACGACAGAGCCGATGGGTTTCAATAACGACTTGCGCTCGGCTTTTCTGGCAGTGGCCAAGAACAAAGACGCATATGTACGGTTCTTGCCTGTTCTGACTAGATTCGTCGGCAAATGCGATTATCCGGATTTTCAAGACGACTTTTCTGGTACCTCGGAGTCCGTTGTTCCCTTCACTACTGCCCATGTTGATGCTCTACTTGCGGCGTTGGAGGCAGAACCCCATGTGTTCCGTGTTTCCAACGGCGAAACATCCAAGAAGCAAATGCGCAATCCGACACGTCGTATGGTGAACGTACGCAAGGCGGAACATTGGACCGCGTCAATGCAAAACGTCCCGTTTTACAGTGCAAATGTCAAAACACAGGTGATGTTGCTTGGAGACGGAACACGGAAGAGGGCGCAGAGCATACCGGAAGTGAAGCTCGTCCGTGGAGAGAAGACAGCATGTATCTGTCTTACGCAATGGTCGTTGTCCCGCAAAAGACCGACACAGCTAATGACAGTCAGAAAAGGAAGAGACCTCGCGGCAGACGAAGAGTCCTGAACAAGGGTTGTTGGAAGCAGTTTCGAAGAGCTTATGTGGCGTCAAGTTTTTCGATCTTGTTGTACTAAAGAGCAGCCTCAGAAATACGATCGCGCTTATAATGTAGGATGATGAAAAGCCAAGGGCGGTACATGGCCAGACATACCAGAGCCAGATGGGACGATGAACGCAACATCATCTCCACTGCACTTGTATCAGCTCATGTGAACGGCAAGACTGAGATATTGAAGAGCCCGAGGCTGAGAAGACAGATGCATTACTTTGCCAACCTCTGTCAGAGCTTGGCTTGCAAGTGAAGTCAATTTATGCGCGAAGGTGGCGGCTCTTGATGAGGGAAAGTAGGGCAATGCTTGCAGTTACCGGTACAAAGCCTCCGATTAGACATGCGTATGTTGGGTGTTATCAAGTCAATCACTTCACGAGATTCGAAGTTCCATTGCAGGGCGGGCTACACGTAACGACACACACTACTCCAAGCTATATGTATTTTTCTCTAACTACATGCGCACGCATCAGCCTGATCGAAACAGCCTATGGGGAGCAGATGGAAACTCACCTCTGCCTCCAGCTCCCTCCTGACACGCCATTCCTCATCTGCCTTAATAACAACATGATGATCATCCAGATCCTCAATGATGAAGCTTTCCTTCTCGTTCAGTGTGAGCAGAATCTGCTTCACTGCGGAGTCGCTGCCAGGGAGGGAGCAGTTGAGACGCACATACCCGGGGCCACAGAGAGGTCAGCTAGCCATGCACCCGAGACGATGTAGCGGTTGGCATATACGAACCAGGTAAGAAGTACGCCTAGGATTGGACCTCCGTGAGCAATTCGTGGGTTAGACTCTGGCTTCGGGCGCACCTTTGATGGCCTTCATCGTGAGCTATTTCCCGCGCTGCTAACAGCCTGCGAATGTGGATTATCCGCGGGTAGCACCTTGCGAACACACTTCCTTGCTGGGCTGTTGCGGGTCGCGGGCGGGGAGGGCGATGAACGCGGAGGGCAACGGCAACAGCGGTCAGCCCGGAACGTGACCTGGGAGGTCTGACTGGTGGGAGAGCTTGACAAAACTTGGATGCTCCTCAGGTCCACGACCCACGTTCGCTTGCTGCCCTCGCTCTCTCTGCACCGTTGCCTACGTCTTCCTCGACTCTACCATCGCCGTCCGAGGGGCCCGCTTACGATGCCGATCCCCCCTGCGATTTTGACGCCGGACCTCTCGTGCGTACCATGACTCGGAGTGAACATGCTCCTCGGACATTCGCGACTATACTGACATTTGCTTGACAATTCCTGCGACAATCCCTTCGCTACGCTGCTCCCGGACGCGGGCTTTTTTCTACTCGTCCCACTGTCCTTCGCAGCACTCCGAATGCGACGGTCTACCCTTCCCCGCTCCGCCAAACGCTTGGCCAGAGCGTCCAGTATATCAAGACGAGTACACCTCCACCTCTAAATCCCCCAGATATCAAGGGTGCGCCTCGTTGTATATTTGTACACTCGTATAATGGGGAAGATTCATCCATCTGCAGTGCCCTCGCCCACGACCATCATCGAGGCATCGAAGCGCCTCGCCGCCTGGACAGCAGTGGATAGGCATGTACTGCCGGAGTGCAAGGTCTGTATTCCTGTCATATTGTCTGCAGTACAGTCTCAATGCAGGTTATGTAGGTGATAGGCATTGGCTCCGGTACGTTCAAACCCACATAATCAGGCATTGTTTATTCATTGCCAGATACAGGTTCAACTGTTCCCTATGTTGTCGAGCGCATTGTCGCGCAGGGGAAGGAAATGAACAAAGATCGTGTATTCATTCCGACAAGTAAGTAATGTTACCTTTTTTCGAGACCCCATATTCAGCGCATACAGGCTTCCAGTCCAAGGAGCTCATCGTCAACGCCCAATTGCTACTCGGAGACGTCGACCAATACCCCGCTCTTGATGTCACGGTTGACGGAGCAGACGAGTACGTAGCCCTCCATTTATAGCTTTCATGAAAGTACATATATGCGTCACAGGGTCGATGAGACCTTGAACTGTATTAAGGGCGGAGGCGCCTGCCATTTGCGCGAGAAGGTCCTTGCAGAAGCAGCCGATACGTATGTCTTTCCCTCCCCTCTCATGACTGCTCCGGTAATAGGCCCTCTATAGCTTCATCGTCGTCGCTGACTACCGTAAGAACTCGGACGTTCTCGGCAAGAACGTAAGTGGCAGCGACCTCCTTCCCGCTCTGTCTCTTATTCTTAATCTCTGTAGTTCACACAAGGTGTCCCAATCGAGGTTGCGCAGTTCGCTTATGCGAAGGTGCTGCAGAATGTGCATCTGCTCGGCTCGCCAAATGCCGTACTTCGGATGGCCAAGTCGAAGGCAGGCCCAGTGGTGACGGACAACGGCAACTTCGTCATCGACGCACCATTCCCAGAGGAGATGATGAAGGACCCATACACAGTATGTTGTATTCATTTGTGGGGAGGAGACAGCCAGGTGTAATGACACTCGTACATATAGTTGCTGAAGCGTCTGAAGATGCTCACGGGTGTTGTCGAGGTCGGGCTTTTCTGCCACATGGCTAAAGCTGCGTACTTCGGAAACCAGGTGTGTAATAAGCCTAGCCAATCGTGTGCTGTTACTGATGTGGCGTGATCAGGATGGAAGTGTGACAGTGAAGTGGCATGATGGACGCATTGAGAGCGTAGACAGCGGGTCAAGTCCCATTCCGAAGGCCAATGAGAATGGCAAAAACGGTAAGCACCACGTATGTCAGTTTTTAGTATATGTACTGATGATTCTTGCCAAGGCGCATAATGTACAAATGAGAAATGTATCTATACGTGAAATGTAATAGACCCCTGTAGTTTGAAGTCAGTGATCTGTGCATATATTAGATATTGATATTGAATTTGTTTTAACTTCGGCTATGTTGCTCAGAATAGAGTTGTGGCCTCTGTGGGGTATGCTGGCAGGATCAGTCATTGAGGTTCCGTGACAACCACTTAAACCATCCAGAGTTGGACTTTGTAATTGAACATATCGAATTGCTGCAAGTTGGGTGTACATGACAAAAGAGATATATACACTCAAGGTTAGATTCCTTTGGACCAAGACTCGAATTTGTCAGTCTCTTCCGCGAGCAATGCAATCTTGCGCCTGGTTGTTGCGACACTATCCTTTCCGAGTGGAAAGTGCAGCGGTGGATCTGGATAGGCGGCCAGCCTAAACATTATGGCAGCCGCTTTGATAGGGTTTCCGAGCTGGCGCATTTGTTCTTCGCCGAAATTGTCAATATAGCTGCGAGTCGCCGCAACGATCGAGGAAGGTTTCATGTACGCAGGGTGGTGTGGCATGATAACTATCCGGCCAACAGCATCCGTGCCGAAACCACCCACTTCGATGACGGTAATCTGTGCATCAAAATGCATGGGAGTACGACAAGATGGAGAAAAAGAGACGCTGACTTTGATGTCCCACTCAGGGTCAACTTCCGCAGCGAGTGACTCGCTGAGCCCTTCGAGAGCTGAACAGCCGCCGCAGAATCAAGTCAACGTTAACATGAATTTGAGAACCAAGATTATCTTCACGCACCAAACTTGCTAGCATGGAAGACTCCAAGCGTGGGAGGGCTTGTATACCCCCCGTCGAGGATATCTGAAGCAGCCTCCCTCCGATAGGCTTGTTGACGTCTCTAAAGACCCTGATGCTTTGTGGGCGGATATTTGACAGAGAGGTCGGAGAGGGAGTCTGGCACCCTGAGTGTGGCGACGGCAATGTCCCCTCTCTTGAGGACGTGCTCCGTCATGCATCGCCCAAGGCCAAGGCCGGACGACGTTCCTGTAACTGGGCCACGAAGTCAGACAGGCACGCTGCACAGTTACGAGGGTACGCTTACGCAGCCATACTTTGGGAGGCATGATGAACACTGGCGAATGGGGAGTCCCTGTGTTCAGCTTGACCAAATCCCGTTAGAGCAGTGTTAGTTATATATCCCAAACTCTCGTGTGCACATGACGAGAAATAAAAGAACCGGTACGTAGTACACTGCACACAGCAGTGACAAAGTCCGCCAGCATCGGGAATTGTGCTGTAGCCTGTATGACAGCTTCCTCAAGTACCTACGGATGAATACCCTATTTTAAGTTTGTTGATATTGGAAATGGTATGGAGGGATACACCGAATGAACGTGTACAGCTAGGTCTCTGGTAGATTGTCGCGACTCCCAATGCGGATGAATAATGTAAAGAGGGACCTTGCGGAAACATCAGCGGATGGGGTGTGTCGAGTATCATCGGCACGTCCTCAGAAGTTCATAGAAGTCACGGCCGTGAGCAAACTGCCGGTGAACTAATGATCCCGTGAACAAAGTGACAATCCTCCGTGGATGGATTTAATAAATGGGAACTGAGAATCTACGAATCTTACCGAGTGCGATGTCGAAATCCGACAGATATAGCTATGATCACCTATTTGCGCCGGAAGGATTGTCTCTTCATTTGGTATACAAAATCTTCATATAAATTTCGAAGGCTTGAGTATAAAACCAGAACGCAACCTGACAGGAATTGTTCTTCATTCAAGCAAGTCTAGAGTGGAGGGCGAGTCCCTCAGTTGCTACCTATCCGAGTCCCAGCCTGATTGAACAAACTTTCCAACAAACTTTCCAAAAATACAGCATAAGTTGCTAGAAAAGCCATCTGTTGCGGTGGGCGCAACTCACTTCACAAATCGCCAATCCTGTACTAATTACCGAGGTCTAGTTCAAGTTCAAGCTGGAGTCATTACTATCCACAGAGTCGTTTTTTGTCTCCCTCTATTGTCCACGAGGACAGAGCCTCATGTAGACAGTAAGTACACGGTGCGCGAGCGTGGACTATATCAGCGTCGTGGCAGAGGCATCGGACAGAGTCAGCTTGGACGGTACGTACTACTATGGGCCGCCTTCATGAGACCTATTTCGGGGATCCCCGGCTCTCTAGTTGCCGAAAACTCAAGCGCCCAGCGATCGCTCGCATCCACCTCGTTGACCCTGGATCAAGCTCAAGCCTAAGTGTCAGCATCAGGAACAACGTTTGAAAGGTGACAAGCTTGATCCATAACGTATACGCACCAGTTTTATATTGGCTTATATATTTCGCGAAGGTGCGAAGCACGAATGAACCCGTGAAAATTAAATAGTATACGATGCGTAAGTTCTACATCATGATATAATTTATGCACTCAATAAAACATAGACTGAACTGGTTGATCAGGATACCGAGGGTGAAAATGAGGTTCGCGGGCACATGCCTACTAATAAACGAAGCGACTCGCGTATTTGCCGCTTTGGACGTGCTCAAGCCTGAGGTGGCTCGCTGGAAAGAGCTTTCAATACATGCTCTCCGTGGCTCCTCACTACCCCTCCCCCATTATCATCTTTCCGGCTGTGCACCAAATTTTGTCCGCATGCGCCTGAAATCGACAGATGGCCTACCAGGGACCGCGCGTCGAAGAATAAATCCTTCCAAAATATTACATACCCCGCATTTAGATCAGCTGCATGTTGATGACTACGTGTATCGGGACGCGTATATGCGCATGCTCCACGCATTGACTATTGCACGCTATACGCCCGACCAAATGCTCTTCTCCGTGCGGGATCTATGGGAGTCCATTGACAGGTAGCCATCCGTTCGTGTCGTGGAGCTCATTGCTCTTGACTTGGATGCCGTGGACACGGTGGGCTGAGTGACAGAGATCCGTTCCCTAATCCTGTCTTGGAAGAGATCCCGGCTCATGTCATCACCGAGCTCTGTCGTATTGTGGGCCCTCAGGTGTTGAAGTTGAGTATCTGACAATCAAGCGATGTTCGATTCCGGAAGGTGGTATCAACTTGTCCTTTGCTTATGATGTATCGCTTGAAGACATGCATAACTCGGGAGAGCTCCAGAGACTAATCTTGGGAGACTATCCTCTCGTAGCATCCACTGTGGCACTCTCATGTAACCGACGACTTTTTCGGGCTCCTCTCAACTCCCCATGATGAGCGATGGCTATGTCCGAACCTAGCTTGCCTCGATTTGTCTTTGTCATCCCCGTACAATGTGTAACTCTTGACATATTCGTAATACCAAATAATTATCATCTTCCATTGCACTTATTTTCTCAAAAGAATTGCATCTTCACACACCTGGACAAATTTGCTCTTCCTCGCAAATGAGATGACCAGCTAGAAACTCTTGTATACGGCTGAGAACCCGGAGACTGCTTATCAATTTACGAAATCATGGCTCAAACGGCGCATACAATACCTGTTGTAAAATATGTGTATGTATATGATACACTTCCTACGATTTCAAGGGCAGATGTAGACAAAGTTTGATTTAGTAGAATACAAGTAACCTCAGCTCAATGGACTCCCTGTACAGAGCGTCTTTGGGGGTGGTGGGATCATTGAATGCCGTGTGAGGAGTGAATATTGCGGTCTCTCCATCGTCCTGTGAATCAAAGCTAAATTATGATTGAGAATAGTCCACGAGCTATATCAATCGGACAACTCACCACTTGATGAGCACAAATTCGTCCGGCTTCATGCCACGCAGGTAGCCCCATCTCTGTGCCGGTGAGTATTTCACCCCAAACGTCTCCCCGTTCTGGTTGTCCGGGTAGCACAGTGTGATGGGAACGACGTCACCCTGTCTGTCCACAGTCCGCCAGTCGCACAAAGCGAGCGGCCAGTCGAATGCCGGATGTCCGAATGGGCGCCAGAGATTGATGATCTGAAATCGCCCCTGGAGGAGGGCAGGTGCATCCGCCGGAGGGAGGTGGCGGTGGACGCGCGCGGTAGCTGATTGTGGTGTCTGATCGACGTGGACCTGCGGCACCGGCTGGCGCTTCGATGGCGAGTCGTCGCGTTCCCCAGGCCGGCGGCGACGGATAGCTGGAATAAGGGGTATCAGTGCTTTGGCCGGTATGGCGCTAGTGAGACGCACTGTGATCGAACGGCACAACACGTTTTGCACTCGTAAGATGCTTCACCAGAGAGATACTCTCAGGGTAATAATGCTCTTTTATCTCCGTCTCACTGCTAAAGGAGGTGTGGGTCGGGGCGCCCTTGAAGAACTGAAAACCCGCGCTGTCGAGAGTAACTGAGTTCTCCTGACCCCGGAGGTCGTGTATCTTGACGCTGTGACTATCCGGAATCCAGTTTCCGCGCCTTCCAGCTTCGTCGGCGTTGATCAAGGTGTAAGGTGTAGACCCATCCTTGGGAGGAGAATAGAAGAGGAGTTCTGCTGATACAATGCGGGGAGTAGCAGCCTGCCCAGCCATTGAGTTACGCGCCCGAGAGCAAGGGCTGGTGTGAAATGCTTGATATTGCGTTTGTCCTAGGATAGTACACTAGTAGAAAAGGTGGATCACTTGTGCCCTAAATTAATGGCCATGCTCACCTTGCACCCGATGGTACTACTGACGAAGTAACTCCTGAGAAAGCTCGCCACTCGCAAGGATGCCATTATGATATATCCCGAGGACAACCGCCAAAGTTATACAGGGGCCAGTGGAGTCAAGGAGGATTCTTACCAATCCGACGTAACGTCTGACGCAAGGAAACGGAGAATCGAGAGATGATAACCAGTAGCTCCTCTCATACTCCATACCAAGTGATTTCTTCCGCAAATTGACAAAGCATCCAGGATGATTTGAAGCCAAAGAAGTGCAACGAATAAATCCCTGATCAAAAGAGAGCAACTGGAAAGAAGTTGTGGACGACAGAAGCACCTTAAAGGTTCAGTATAATAGCCTGGCCGCGAGATTGGCCGCAACTATCAGATAAGGTAAGGTAAACATAGGATAGTACTGGTATCGGTAAATTCGAAATTACTTCGCTGGATGCGCTTAAAGCGAACAAAATGTCCCTTCTCTAATAATCTCTATGCGCCCAACGAATTTTTTCAATTCTGGACTTGAAGATTATCGAGATATACTTGACCAATAAGCGTGTGATTAAAATTATGTGAGTTTCAACGCCAAGCTGCTTCCTTACAACCACCACTTGAACTGAATTTTCAATTGGGCCGATCACAGAAATGCATAATTGTTGTGAGACCGGTATGAGATATATTCCGACTAGTAGATATAGGGAATCATCTTAAATGGTACCGTCTTTGCTCACTCGTCCCATTGCGAGCCAAATCTTGCTTTCAGGATAGCATCTTCTTCCACAGTACGCCTTAGAGCATTCCACGAGCCATACACCCAGAGGCCCGAATATACCCATGCTGCTACACGTCCCGTCACCGTATCCATCACCCCACATTCTCTCACCCAAGAACCGCATGTCCCATAGGCTATGCCTAAACCGGCCACACATGCTATAGCAGCCGGATAGCTTGGGTGGCGAACGATGGCATACGGCCCCCCAGTAACAAGTTTATGATCATCTTGGATGGACAGCTCGAATGTAAACATGCGCCCAAGTTCGCGATAGCATCGGTATCGGATGAACCCAGACACAGCGGCGATGGTACTGCCAACCACGAACATTGGCGACACTGTGATTTGGTCGGCAAGCGAACTGGGACCAAAAATAAGCGCGGCCATAATCCTCTGCGATATTGCATGCGCAGGCCACAGGCGTGCAATGATTACAGCTGCTTCAAAGAGGGCGCCTGAGCATATCACGAACTACAGAGAAGTTCCCTCGTTATATGTCAGTGATTTAGTTCTCAGAGAAGCTGCATACCTTTGCCCCAAAGTGATATATTCTTGCAACCGCAGAAAACACACGCTCTCTTTTCGAGAAAAGGGCGTTGACTTGGTTCTGCAAGGGCCTTGGATTTGGAGGCGTCATAGAAACATAGACGCCAGCTGCGCTCGCAAGGAGGAAAGGTATTTTGAGAAGGGGCATCACAATGAGTGCGGAATACAGTTACAGGTGCGATTTTCTGTATTGCGCTCCCTATAGTCAGTGAGTGTTGCACGGGAATGCTGGTGGGTGCAGGAGCCGCAATTCGACAGTCGTATACCTCCTCCTTCTTTCTCAGCCGGTCAAATGCAAACAGAGCGAAGCGCAGCACTGATGCCCGGGCCGCGTCCCCGCGTACACTTAAGCAGTACATGTCGCTTATAACAGTGCCAATATAACAGTCACATTACTGACCAGGTCGTTGACATCTGATTATAATGAGACCACTGCTCTACATAGTAAGTACGTCCTGAAAATAGCTTCAAACGCAGTGCTTACCGCCGTACCAGTTATTTGACAGATCAGTACAAATTTTGCAATTTAAGGATCACATTGCGTACATGGGATTCTACCGAATCTACTCCAAGGGTTTGAACGATGTCCCATCGATGCCATTCATCGTCCGATGACTGTCTACTAGACTAGTGCTAGGGGGAAGACTCCGAGGCATGTAAATAACGGTCGGTAACAAGTCCGCCAGGAGACTCCCGTTATTTACCTAGTAAGAAATGTAAGAAAACTAAATATCACGGGATTTCTTAGAAAACAGCATGTGACCTATTAAGACGCGTAAATCACATGTAAAAAAAGTCTGTCCGAACTTCAGAATACGATGGTCTGTAAGTATAGCAGCACGCACGATGAAATTGATACTGGAAGATATATGGAGGCCCGGTATACCTCCCACTCAAGCTCCCATGAAAAATTTCTTTTGTCGCGGTGGTCCATCAAGCCAAGCACCAATGATTTATAGTTTCTATATTCCCATGTTCATCGTTGTCTGGCTCGTATGTCTTCACTAAACTCTTGCCTTTTTTCTTATCACCCTCGAGATAGTCACGGAGAGCATAGAAACATTGATATCATAAAATCGAACGGCAGGAAGGTGGGGATGCAGTGGAGCGCATGCAGGTCAGACAAGAGAATATACGGTGCCCGCCGTTGTGGTGGACGGAGTACATTTACAGTTTGCAGATCACATATCCCGAAGCCGGATACTGACTGTACAGTGGTTGAAACATTGATGGTGTGCATCTACGGGCCGCGAAGAGTTCAATGCTGTGCACATGCAGCATGATAGCTGCAAAATAAACAGGTGATGAGACATATATAAGAACCTCAGATGTGTCGCGCGTGTCTTGTCATTATTGAGGGGTTCCTGGTGCTGTAAAGTACGTATACTATCATCTGTACTAATGTCTTCCAAAGTATGGTTCCGTGAGCGCTTGTGCTTGTCACTTTCAATCATTTGATTGTCTAACATCTGTACGCAGTCACAGGCACGTCGTCCGGCCTGGGACGCTGCATGACCGAGCACGTCCTCTACAGTGGAGACATCGCCGTTGCCACGCTCCGCAAGCCCGAAGCCCTCGCGGACCT